ATTATGAATCGGTAAGTTTTATAATGAATACTTGTCGATTTTATCTAATTGACATCATATTTACCTAAAGGAATTCAAATTAAAAATCATTTTTCTTTTAGACCCTCAAATATTATAAACAATTGCTCTCATACACAAAATCAGCAGTAACGCGCAATTACAGTGAAAGGAGCATCAATAATATACTGGATTTTATTTCATCTTCTCAAGATATGACTTTTATGGAGGAATTTTATTCAACAACATTAAATGCATTGGAAGAAGCTAAGAATGAGGTGGATAAATAACAAATATAAACATTGATTATGTGATGTATATATATTTATAATAATAATTAGTATTATTATAGAGATTATGGGTTAAAACCAATCTAAAATTGGCAAAACTTTGGCTTGATCGTAAAGAATATAATAGATTAAACAAGGTATTTAATTCTATATTTACAATTAAATGATACTTCTTTTAATTGGTGTAATAATTTATTTATCTATCTCTTCTTTATAATTTAAATCAAATCAAGATACTTCGACAACTTCATGCATCTTGTCAAAAAGATGACGGAACTGATGATCAACGTAAAGGAACACACTTGTTGGAAATTTTTGCATTGGAAATTCAAATGTATACAGAAACAAAAAATAATAAAAAACTAAAAGTATACGTTACCTTAAAATCATTTATTTTGTTTTTGTTTTTTATATTCATTGAATAATTTCTAATAATTTTATTTATTTATTTTAGGCATTATATCAACAATGTCTTCATGTTAAATCAGCCATTCCACATCCACGTATAATGGGAGTTATTCGTGAATGTGGTGGTAAAATGCATATGGGAGAGAGTGAGTAATCGGTAGATTATTATTAATGAAATAAAAATAATTTATAATAATAATATAAAATTTGTTAATTGAAAACTAATTTTTTGTCAGAGGAATGGTTTAAAGCTCAAACGGACTTCTTTGAATCTTTCAAGAATTATGATGAAGCTGGAAGTCCTCAACGTATACAAGTATTAAAGTAAGTGAATGAATTGTGATTAGTAGGTTTTAGACAAATTTTATGATGCACTTTATTTCCTTACTGTTTTACTTATTCACAAACTACATAGATATTTGGTACTTGCGAATATGTTAAACGAGTCTCAAATTGATCCATTTGATTCTCAAGAAACAAAACCGTAAGTTTGCACAATATTTATTTGTTTTGGATTCATCATTGATTTAAACATAAAATTTTTTGGATAATTTATAATGTTAGATATAAACATAAAAATGAAATAGTCGCAATGGTTAATTTAGTTACTGCATATCAACGCAAAGAAATTAGAGAATTTGAAAAAATCCTAAGAGGTGATTATTTGTAAAATCAAATTAAATATTTTTTTCACAACGCTTAAACATTCAATCAATATTATTATTATCATCTAGAAAACCGTGCTACAATTATGGATGATCCTTTTATACGTACATACATCGATGACGTTCTTAAAAATATTCGAACACAAGTACTTCTTCGACTTATAAAACCATACACAAGAATAGAAATACCATTTGTATCAAAGGTATTATTCTTTATTCTTTAATTTGATAAAAAAAATTTTTTTTAATATTAATGTATTATTTTATTTTTTATTATTTTTCATAAATAAAGCAACTTAATATACCAGCACAAGACGTTGAAGATCTATTGGTTGGTCTTGTTTTAGATAATAAAATTGTTGGAAGAATAGATCAAGTGAATCAGAGATTGGAATTATATAGACAGTATGTCTATATGTTTATATTATATATGTTTATTTATTTATATTATATATATATATGTTAATTAATTCTCTGTATGTGTATATTCATTTGCATTGATAGATCATCCGATACTCAACGTTATACTGCAATTGATAAATGGTCAACAAATGTTTCGACATTATATAAAACTTGTATTAACAGAGTAGCATAAATAACTTTTGCTAATAAAATTTTTATATAGCTTAATTTTATTTTTTTTGAAATACATAAATTAATATATATATTAAATTATCAAATTTTTCCAAAAACCCATCTTCCACCAACTTTTTGTGCTTTAGCTTTTATGGGTGGAAGCTCCCAACTTTTTGGTCCAAAATTCGGCGTTACATATGCTGTCATTTCAGAATCTTTTTTCTTAAAACTATTAAATAAATAACAAATTAATATTAATGTATAATATATATATATATATATTTATTTATTTATTTAAATTTTGAATATTCTTACTTTTTATTTTGAATTTCATTTGGTTTTGAAAAAATACATAGCGATTTTCCTAATTTAGAAAGCCAATTTGCTTCGATGACAGTTATTCCTTTCATCCAAACTTTATTTGTATAATGTAATTCCTGGTAAACAACAAAATCTGGAGGTTTTGCATGATATAGGATAGAAGAAGGATGAATGTAAACATCATCGTCTGTCCACATTGTACTGTATACGATTCCTTTTCTTGATGAGGATCCATCACTTGATTTATCAATTAAATTTTTTCTAACAGCAACTTGATCAATGAAACCTGCTGTAATCATTTGTCGTATGGCTTTAAGCTAAATCAATGAAACCAAGAAGATTAATAATTTAACAAACGACAAATAAATGATAAGATTTTTGATAAATACTTGTAAAGATGACGGAGGCTTCATTTTTGGATCTAGATAGACATTAACGCCTGGAAAATTAGTTTGAACTAAATTTGTAATTTGTCCCCTTAATTTGTGTATTTCTTGCATAGCCTATAAATAAAAACAATCATACAAGATTTTTTTTATTAATAATCAAAAACTAAAATGCGAGGAAATAGAATTTGAAAAATTAATTACCTTTATGCGAACGAAATTTTGATTACAAAATTTTTCAGTACATCCTTCATATTCATAAG